TAGATAGGTCGAGAGCCCTCCAAGTACGCTATCAACTCAGCGGAAGATGTTGGTGCGCTCCATTTGCTTTAGAGTTGCTTGTTTGGTTAGTATGAGTTAGATGTGTATTGTTGGTATGGCGGGACTCTGTCCCGACCTTTATGAAAATTATTTATTCTTAGAGGCTTGTAGACAGATGTCATGTACCTAAAAGATTGTATGGCCTTGTCGGCCTATGTTCAGTGTTCAAGTGGTTATTTTGATCTTAGAGGCCCATATGTCTTATTTATAAGTTGGCATTACCTATTGAATGCTAGCTATTTCACGGCAACCTCTTCGACTCGGTTATTTATGATAGTACGATATTCAAAGATACGTTATGTTGGTGCTCAGTTGAGTAAGGTACCGGGGGCCCGTCTCGACCCATCGGTTTGGGTCGTGACATGCTAGATCCCTCCTGCTGTTGTTTCTTTGGTCTTTCCTAGACTCCATCTGGACCAAGGTCAGACGTTGGGTAGGTCCGTTGAGATCATCCTCGTCGGCTCTTACCTCGGCACAGTAGGCATTGTGTATCTCGTCCCAAGTGGTTGGAGGGTATTTCATGAGTCGACTCAGCAATTTTTTGGTCGCCCGCGACCCACTTCTACTTAGCCTATTCTGGAAAGCGGCTACCGCCATTCCTTCAGATACATTTGGAAGGGTCATTCTTATGCGGTTGAACCAGGCAAGGAAGTCTCTGAGCCTTTCGCTAGGCGATTGCTTAATGGTGAATATGTCATTCACCCTCGCCTCTACTTTTTTGGCCCCGGCATGGGAGGTGAAGAACTTGTTAGTCATTTCCTCGAACATTTCTATAGAGCGCGCAGGTAATATGAGTACCAAGTCAGGGCTCCGCAGGTTAGGGTCTCTCCAAACTTCTTCAGCAATATGGATGATACTTGTTCTTTTGCGAGATCGTTGTCTTTCACTGCAGTGACATAGTTGGTCACATGATCCTCCGGGTCTGTCATGCTGTCATATATTTTCAAGTATGGTGGCATTTTAAAAGTTTTTGATATGGCGTGCAGTGCAGCCTCGTCGCTATATGGTTGCTCGACAAACCGACCGGTGTCTCTTTTTGGCAATAGTTTTGGGAGAACCTGGTATTTTGTCTACCCTTTATTGGTGCTCTTTCATTTGGCTACGGAGCATTTTGTTCTCGTTCTCCATCTCCTCCATTTTCCTCAAAATACATGTGAAGGTGTTATTACCTGCATTACTAACATTGTGAGTAATACCTAGAGCTTTCAAAATGGGCTAGCCCAACCCATCTCAAGCCTCGTGGGCTTTTAAATTTTGTGGGCTAGGGCGTGCCGGCCCTCCATCTATATGGGCCTTAAAATAGCCAGCCCAGACCTAAGAGGGACGCAGGCTAGGGCGGGCCAGCCCTTCAATATTTCTCCAAATCTTTAGAAACTTTTTCGTGACATAATCTCTTAATCGTATGAATGACTTCTGTTTATTTAGAGTGTACAAGAATCTTGATAATTAACAAAGAATCTCGTAATTGAAATATAAATTCTCTAAAACTCTATCTCTTCTTTTTTTAACGTTACATAAATATTTTTTTAGTACTTTCCTTTCACTTTCCTTAGGTTCAGGAATTGCTTCAATAAGTTTATACGTTAAGGTTTTTTAATTTAGGTTTAACATTATTTGTTGATTTCATCATTATAGTCCATAAAAATTTTAAAATTCATGAAATTTACTAGTGTTGTCAATTTTCTTTAGTATTAAAACTTGATATTTTCTATCTGAAAAGCAATTTAATACTAATAATATATTAAAGTAACCAAACTGATCATTGGCCAGCTAAAGTAATATTTTCTTTTGAAAAAGAATTATTGGCCACTTAAAACTTTTCTAGTTCATTTTTAATTAAGCAAAAGAAAAACTAATCTTGTCATACTACATGCATATAAAAAGTATAAATTCTAATTGATATGGAAGGGTAAATGAGCAATCTAAGATTGGAAAATGGGGATTATAGTTAATATCTTTTAAGTTTTTACTTTTTTAAATATTTAAATTTGAATTTAATTAATTTTTGGCACACGGGCCGGCCCAGGCCCAGCCTCAAGGGCCAGCGGGCTGACTTGGGTCAGGCTTATAAGCCTCAGTTTTAAATGGGCTAAAAATTCCCAACCCAACCCTACCCAAGTAGTGGGCTTGCCTCACGAGCCAAGCCCATTTTGACAGCTCTAGTAATACTTGATGCGGGGGGAGCGTGTTGTTCGTCAGCTGTTGATGTGATACCATCTCTTGTTTCTTCCTTATTCGACCTCCGAGCGGGCTTGTTGAGGAAGCCGGTTAGTGTACTTGTCAACCACACCTCAAGTAGTTTTTTCACTACCGGTGGTGTTTCTTCTGTTGTGGGCGTAGAGGCACCCTTTCCATGCGAGGTCGTGACACTGTCGGGAGGTGGAGGCAAGCTATTTCGCCTGGGAGAGGTGTTTGGTGTTATGTCTTCACCCTCCACTTCATTTACTTCGTTAATGGTGTTGAGAAGATTGGCGGTGAGATCGGCTATTGCCTTTCTCTTTTCCTCTCCATTGCCTTGCATGTTAGATTTGTGCAAACAAGGAAATACGAGATTTTGCAATGTTTTGTGCGCCCTTTTTGTTTATAGATCTAGAAGAAACTAAAATTTTAACTATAAAATCACACAGATGGTACCAAATTATTTGACCAAAAAGTATTAAACTTTTTTGTTAAATTAAATAAATAAATAATAATGGGTAAATTCTAGTTAAGTATAATAAATTCTAGATCCAAGATTAATGGATATCAACAATATAAAAACTGCATTCAAGGCTATTAAATACCAAGGGGGTGTTTAATGATATTGTTATGAATGAATGAGGGGATAATGACAAGCAATAAGTATAATGAATGACATTAAATATAAATAGAAAAAATGATTCACCCAAATATTCAATGAGGTAGATGATTCTCTCTCTGACAATGATGTAAGGCAATTAAACGTGAGAACATAGAAAACTTTCTCGAATCTGATGTGAGAACGTTTTAGACAAACAACAAATCGAATCTTTTGTTAAGATAATGTTTGTAGTTTTTTGAGAGTCAACTTTTCTAGAGAGAGCTTATCATATAGAATATTACATACCCCTTTCCTTCTCTCTTTATTCCTATTTATATGTGACATATCCCTTACCTACTGAAAGTACAAGTGCAGAGAATATTTTGTAGAATATTCCTTCAGAATATCTTTTTGCTAAACTAGTTGTTTGCTCGACCTCGACCTTAGCTGCTCGGCTCGCCAATGTTACTTTTTAAGCATGACCTCGCCTAATTGACTCTTGATTGCCCTCTCTCAGGCGAGGTCCCCTTGATCAGATTTTGACCCATACAAATCTTTTCAGATATCCCAAACCATGAGATATTCTTGTTTATCCTACAATTGAATCAAATGACCCCTATAGGATATAACAATATATGTAGGAGTAGTGTGATTTTCCAGGCATGATTTCCTCTCACTGCATGTTAAGCGAGTCTTGATAATGTGCACGAGTAGTGTGAAAATGCCGGCCACTAGTACCTTACTATTACCGCTGAATTTGGTTATAGCAACACCGACGAATGCAATACAATCACAAGTAAGACCACTCACTTTTCATAGTTTCCTACCGCTATAATTTCAAACCATATGTGAGGAACAGAAGATGAAGAGAAGAGTGAGAATCAACTCAATCTAGTTGGGAAGCGGGCTGCGAGAAGAACGGGGTTAGAGGTTCCCCGCCGACTTTAATTTTCTAACCTAGCTAAATCCACAACACAAATTTCTGATGCTACAAAAAGCCCTGTGATATAGGATCAGAAACACCTACATACGGAGGAGAAACCCTACCAGAGGAATCGAAGCTCACAAGTGGGTAAGGCCCTTACCTACATTCCTCCAGATATGCATGGTGATAAATTCGTAGTTACGATTGTTGAGGAGGACATTAAGGAATAACAGGAATATTGGGGTACTTCTCTTATAGGGTATGTTCTGGGTGATACTCCATATTTCAAATCCATGGAGAATAATATCGAAAATGTGTGGAATTTTATTGACGAACCCAAAATCCTATATTATGACGATGCCTATTACATATTCATGTTTGACTCTGTGAGTAATAGGGATCGAGTCCTGCAATCTGGTCCTTATAAATTCCATAAAAAGCCTTTTATCTTGAAGAATTGGTCGATTGATTTTGTGTTTGATCCTGAATGTCTAACTGTAATTCCATTATGGGTGAGATTTCCTAATTTACATGTTGGCTACTAGTCTACAGAAGCTTTGAGTAAGTTGGCTAGTGTGGTGGGTAGACCTATGTACATTAACCTGTTTACAACAGAGATGGATCGTATATCATATGCTAGAGTACTAGTAGAGACAGATATTTCTCACCCCCTGCTAAATGCTCATGTAATCCATACTCCAGCAGGGGTTATCCACTAGAGTATAGAGTATGATTATAAGCCAAAGTATTGTACTGATTGGGCTAAAGTTGGGCACACTACTGAGGAATGTAGATAGAGGAAGACCCAAGAGGAAATGATGGTTTTGTAGAGCAAACAAGGAAGAATAGAATAGGTAGGAAGAGGAGGAAGGTGGTGACTAAATGGATGGCAAAAGACCAGAGTAGCACTACCACTGATCCAACTACTTCTACAACAAAAGAAACTGTCACTGAAACACAGGGGACTAATGCTACTTTGGACGAGGAGGAATTCCCAGCTTTAGTAGCACCAATAAGGAAAGAAGGGTCAAAAAACCAAGGTAAAAGAATTGCTGACGGTGGGATGAATGATCAGACACAATAAGTTACAGCTAGCTGCTCCACTGGCCAGTTGGGAATTACCAATAGATTTGAGGTACTAACTCAAGGATATACATCAGCTTATATAGGGGAGGGTGGTACTATCCACCTCAAACCTCCATGATTAGAAGTACTTGGAACATAAGAGGGCTTAACATGCCCTTTAAACAGAAGGAGATGACTCTCTTTCTGAAGAAGTACAGAGTAGAAGTTACGGGAATAGCTGAGACAAGAGTAAAAGTAAATAAAGCTAGGAGGATCACACAAAAGATAGCAAAGGACTGGCAAGTCAAATACAACTATGATCATGCCTATAATGGTCGTATTTGGCTACTGTGGAAACCTCATATAAAGCTTCAAATATTAGAGGTTAATGCTCAGTTCATCCATTGCGAAGTGGAGGGCCCAAATTGTCAAAAAGGGTTGTTTCTCACTGTGATTTATGCAAGTAATGACTTTGGAACTATTGAATCGACTGCAATTTACTCCCTTAAAGAGCACAGGATGGTACTACATATGGTGTAACAAAAGAGATGATAATGCAAGAGTATATAGCAAGATTGACTTGGCATTTGGAAATTATAATTGGCTGATGAACTATGGCCATATTGAAGCAGAGTATCTGAATCCTGGAGTTTCAGACCATTCACCAAACTTGCTCAAATGCAACTGTATAGTACAACAACAGAACTTGCATCCTAGACCCTTCAAGCTATATCAAGCAGTATTACACCATCCAGATTTTGCAGGGATATTGAAAAAAGTGTGGGCACAGGATTATAAAGATATAGGGATGTCCAGAACATGGCAGAAACTTAAGAGGCTAAAAGAGGCACTAAGGGAGTTAAATACTTACATGACCTCTTATCAACAAAAGCTTAATCAAGCCAAGCAGGAATTGGAATTAGCACAATATAATATCTCCCTACAACCATTATGCCAGATCTATATAGAACAGGAGAAAGAAGCTTTAATAGAAGTGGAAAAGTGGAGCAATGTGGAGGAACAGGTTCTAAGGCAGAAATCACGAGCCACATGGATACAATATAGAGATGTTAATACAAAATACTTCCATGCTCAGTGGAAGATGCGCATTAGTGCTAATACAATTAATTCTATACACAATGATGCGGGAATCAAGATCATAGAACCAAAGTAGGTAGAAGACCAATTTCTCTCTTTCTTCAAGAAGCTGATGGGAGAGTCATCACACATTCTCCCCTGTCCAAATTCTGAGGTGATTAAGAAAGGGTCCTGCCTGACAAGACAACAACAACTGGAGATGATCAAGGAAGTCACAACAGAGGAAATATTTGATACTGTTAAAAGCATTCCAACTGACAAAGCACCGAGTGTTGATGGATTTCTAATTGAATTCTTCACACAACACTAGGAGGAGGTAAAAAGTAATGTGCTTGCTGATGTCTTCCAAACGGGAAATATGTACAAGGCCATCAATTGTACTACTATCACTCTGATTCCAAAGTCTCCAACCCCACCCAGATTAAGGACTATAGGCCTATAACATGCTACACAATCATGTACAAGATCATTACTAAAGTGCTCACTGGGAGACTTAAGAAAGTGATATGTCATCTGGTTGGAGGATCTCAATCAGCTTTCATTGAAGGTAGGGGTATCACTGGTAATATATTGTTCACTCATGAACTATTCAAAGGCTATAACAGGAAGGAGATTTCAGCAAGGTGTGTACTTAAGGTTGACCTTAGGAAGGCTTATAACACATTAGATTGGTATTTTGTGAAAAGACTTCTGATTGAACGGGGATTCCTACATAAGTTTATTGAGTGGATAATGGAATGTATAACAACTGTCACTTATTTTTTAACACTGATAGGAATAAGGCAAGGTGACCCTATGTCACCTTACTTGTTTGTGCTTGCTATGGAATATCTACAGAGGGAATTTGATCAGTTGTCTTTGAACAAGGAGTTTCACTTCCACCCTAGATGCAAAAGGTTGGGAGTAATCCATGTGTGTTTTGCTGATGATCTATTGATATTTTGTAGGGCAGACCTCCCTTCTGTTAGGTTGCTTCAATAGGCTATTATGAAATTTCAAAGGCCTCAAGATTACAGGCAAATGCAGACAAGAGCTCCATTTACCTTGCTGGCACTTCTGCAAATCTGAAGGAGGGCATCTTGCAAGAGTTGGGATATAATGAGGTCACATCGCCAATCAAATATCTGGGTGTGCCACTAGCATCAAGGAAGCTATCAATTAACCAATGCTAGATACTGGTAGAAAAGACCACTAAAGGATAAGTTGTTGGACATCAAAGCTACTATCATACTCAGGAAGATTGCAGCTCATAAAATCAGTGATCTTTGGTGTATAATCATACAGGGCACAAATATTTCTATTGCCAAAGAAGGTGTTGAAAATGATTGAAGCCACATACAAAATATTCCTATGGATAGGAAAAGAAAATAACTCTAGGAAAGCAATGGTGTCTTGGGAGAAGATATGCTTGTCACAAACAGCTGGAAGACTGAATGTTATAAACCTGTACAACTGGAATAAAGCAGTAGTGTTTGGGCTGTCACCAAGAAGAAGGATTGCCTTTGGATCAGGTGGATCCATGCTAATTACGTCAAGAACCAAACTATCGATACTATGTCTATACCCAAGAATGCAGCCTGGTAGTGAGGAAAATTCTTGAACTTAGGAAGCTTATCTTTGATCTACCTACCATGCAAGGAGACCTAACTTCAAGACTGATGAAATTGCAAAGTACAGATGGAAGATTCAGCACCAAGAAGCTATATAAGTTGTAGACCTCTCAGGTCCAAAAGGTGCACTGGAAGAGCCTAATCTTACAACCACATATACATCCCAGACACAAATTAAACTTATGGCTAGCTACACAGGGAATACTGCCTAGTGTTGAGAGGCTACAAAAAATTGGTATTCAAGTTCCTCAAGCTTGTGTATTCTGTGGCCTGGATGATGAACACTTTGAACACTTATTCTTTGGTTGTGACTACACGAAGAATATCTGGCAACGACTACTGAATTGGTTTGGTTGTCCAAGGCAAATAAGTACATGGCAGGAAGGCGTGAAATGGGTGACAACATGTGCTAGGAAAAAGCAATGATTTGGGACAATTGTCTCAGCTATCTTTGGGATGATGATATACCTTATATGGCGAGATAGGAACAAGATCAGATTTCAGAGTGGCAACTCGTCCCCTGATAGAATGTGTAGAGAAATTGCAAGTCATATACACATCAGAGGCAACACATATCTTAGCTGACAGAAGCATTTGGAGGCATTGAACTGGTTTCCTTAGACAAGTTTAGCTTCTTTATTCTGTCAAATGTAATATCTATTTGTCTATAATACAGATGGTATAGGCATTAGGATGTGTATAGGTTATAGTTGAAATCAAAATCTTGTATAGGTTATAGTTGAGCAATTAGTTGTCAAGCAGAGTAAAGGAACTGGTATTGAACTTTTTGGTTAAATAGAATGAAATTTTACCAACACATATATATACATGAATTACTTACTTTAGAAGGTTATTGTATATAAATAGTTTTAATACCCATTGCTAATGCATATATTTTTATTTTACATTCCCACATAACTTAATACAGGTATTATTTAAAACCTCCAACCAAATATTACATAGTTATACGTCAATTTTTTTTTGATGCGGACATTCAAATGTTAGCATTATTTTATGTGGATTTTATACTAGAGTTAATTTCTCCAATACAACAACCAAATGAGTACCTCATTTTATCACTTTAGGTACAGGATCAATTTAGGTAATAAATAAATAAGCAAGGACACAATGGAAAAGAAAAATAACATGACAATCCCACCACATCAAATTGATTATTATATGAACTGTTTTTTTCATTATTACATACCAATTCAATTAATAATACAATAACTTTAGCATTATTGGTACTTGAAGTTGAAGGTTTTGATGCTACAGAAGCTTTGGATTTTCTTTTTTTTACAGATAAAGATTATGTTTGAAACCGTTCATAAGATGCTTAATATCACCATTTTCTTCTGCCTCTCCCGCCAAAGTTTGCTGCAGAAATTTTAACAAAACAAGGTAATGAATAAATATTGAATTCAGAGGAAATCAGTAGCTAATGTGGATGCTTGAACTCTTTAACTTTTTACCTGAAGGCAAGAGACAGTATAGTGCACATCACTTTCTGAAATCTGGTGGTGTATAACAAACCTGATTCTGCAATAGGAAATGCTAACCATCAGCATGATCAAAAGGGAAAAGAAATGTCAACACTATTTACACAAAATCCTAAGTAGACACGTGCACATGTGTACGTCAATGTGCATACACACGTGCCACTATTACTTAAATATGCTTATATTTAATTTTTTAGGGGTGGCAACTTGAGTCCAAATCTATTTGACCCGCACATTTCAGCCCATTTAAAGTGGGGCTGGATTTTAACCTAAATTAATTCATGAGTAACTTTGCTAAAATAACTTTAATTTTTTTTTTTGCTTGATATGTTATATGACCATATTTGATAATTAAACAACTCATAAGAAAACAATACACAATAATTAAAGCTCGGTAAGAGTTGGTCGAGTTGGGCCATGACCCAGATTTTAGTTCAATTTGACCCAATCCATCCCAGCCCAAATTATATTTTGACCCGCCCAAATCAACTCGATCCGCCTATTTGGCACCCCTAAAAATTTCTCACTAGATGGTGAACTCGAAAATAGCTTAGCATGCATAAACAATCAAGGAAAAGAGTAGACATGTTTGGAGAGAGATATAAAGAATGAAATGGCAAGCACACCTCATTGGCCCTTCTGGTAGTACAAGTATACCATGTTGTTCCAAAATCTTACACAAATGTGTTCTACTGACCTTTGACCCTTTCAGTATATGACAAAATACCTGATCACAAAAAAAGAATCTCATTATAATATTTCTGAAGGAGCTGAATTTATTTTGCATTGGCATTAATTGCATCAGGAGTTGATAAATCAACTTACAATGTTGGTCTCTACAGCAGCACTATCAACTTTAAGCCCTTTGATTTTGTTAAGTTCCTCTGAGAAGTAAATGGAATCATTAGACAGATGAATAAAAGTTTTTAAGTAAATATACCCTTACCAAATGGGAAGGGGATCGCCTTGATGTAACTGGTAAAGTTGTTGTCATGTGACCAGGAGTTCACACGTTTAAGCGTGGAAACAGTCTCTTGCAGAAATGAAGGGTAAGGCTGCGTACAATGAACCCTTGGGGTCCGACCCTTCCCCTTGCACATAGTGGGAGCGTAGTGCACCGGATTACCCTTTATACCTTACCAAATGGAGAAAACAATTACCTGCTAAAAGTTTAGCCTTTCTGTGGTCTCCTTCCAACTTAACAAGATTTTCTTGTAAAGCGACAGAAGCAGCAGCACAGAGTACACCAATCTGTCGCATTCCTCCACCTAGAGTCTTCCTCAGAATTTTTGCCTACAAAATGGAGGAAATATTGAGTTAGGTGACAAATCCTGCAGCAAAGAAAACTAACTTCTTCAATGATATACATAAGTATAAGCTACCCTGGCAATGAAGCTCTTTGAACCAACAATCACAGATCCCGCTGGAGCACCAAGACCTTTCGATAAGCATGCCTGCACATATTCTTGAATGAGCGAAAACGATATACACTAAAGGGCATAGAGCCCGGTGCACTAAGCTCCCGCTATGCGTGGGGTTCGGGGAAGGACCGGACCACAAGGGTCTATTGTACGCAGTCTTATCCTGCATTTCTGCAAGAGGCTGTTTCCACGGCTTGCACCTAAAATAACCATATACTATAATAACCAAAAATAACTATGTACAAGAGAGGGAATTTAGATCTTTGGACATCGTTTAACTTACCGAAACTGAATCAGCCGCTTGTACAAGCCTGTGAACGGGCACACCAAGTGCCTAAAAGACAGATACGTCCAGTCAATACCTCAATGAATATTACAACAAAAGCATAATACAGAAGTAAAGTGGTGATGCCTTTAAAGTAATATGGAAACTATACAGTTTAAATCATGTACAGATCCATTTGACTCAAGGTAGCAGTACTGACCAACTGCATACAAAAGGGTGTTACTTAACAAACAAGAAAAGATATACTTACAACTGATGCA